TGCATGTACTGAACTTCAGAAAACTTAGCGGGTTCTACTTTTGAGTCTTCTCGCTTACTGATCCTCTCGGTTGATTTTTTTTTGTTCCGATCAGGGCAAGCCAACGCTGATGATGCCTCATGGCCAGAGCAAGAGGGAGGGTCCTAACTGACTAGTTGGGTTTTTTTTGCAGTGTTGATTTTTTCCATTCGGGTGCCCTGCTCAATGGATGTTAGGAGCAGGGGGTGGGCAAGGGGGTGTGGCCGTATTCAGGAAAAATTCTCCTACTAGAACAATGTGCTGAGGTTGCAACAATGTCGCTCACGCGGCCTTGCACACTTTACCGTCATCTTTTGACCGCGAACAGTAACGACTTCCACATCTTATCCTCATCACCAGTTCAATTCGACTCAACCACCAGTAAGAAATATCACACAATTCCGTAAATACCGCATTCTTTTGTGCAGCACATCATCATGGGCATGCCTCAGTGCGCGAAGTCAGCGCTAACAAGTGATAAAGCTAGTTTACGGCCAGGATACAGCATAATTCGAGAAATGCTCAGCGAGGGGACGTATTTGATTTACTAAGAGGAGGTTTTTCTTAATGTGAACGGGCGTGGGAATCCTGGGGGCTCTACGGACGACTTGGACTCAATCCCGTTAATCGCGTCAATTTCCTGTTTTTTTTCCGCTCTATCGCCAACATGGCCTTCTGTGTGACCACTCTGATCTCACGCAGTCTGGCCCTTCACACGCAATAAGTGGCTCCCCCACGGTGGAGCCCCGCTCGTTGAAAGAGCCCACCGTCTAGATCGCTTCATGCTGCCTCTTTCGCCCTCCTCATGCTTTGCCAGGCGTTGTCTTTCATCTGCCTGTGCTACAGGCAAATTATCATGCGGAAAAGTTCGAATAATCACATAAGTCCATTCTGAGAGAGAACAGCTTCTAATTTTCCTCGTAGCTCCCCCCGCCCAGCAACGGACACGCAAAAATCGAGCAAAGTCAAAAACCGAGACAAAAACGAAGGCAAATACCACCCCCCCCTCCCTCCAGCAACCAGGTATACAGTCCCCTCCTAGGGGATCCCCAACGTGAGACCTGCTCTGTGTAGAG